TTTGTTTATTTTGTGTGTGTGTGTCCAGCTCAGCCCACCAGGGGGCAGGGCTGGCTGGCACGTGGTGCTGGGGGATTGAACCGCAGTCCCTGTGCTTTGTTTAGCTTAGCTTGTTCTAAGTAGGTGCTTTAGACCACTGAGCCATCTCATCAGCCCATGGCTTCTAATTTCACACAGTGCCAGTTTCAATGCTCTGTAGGAAAAGGCTTCCACTGCATCCCTCTAGGGCTCTAGGATGGCGACACAGAGCTGGGACAAAAGGCTGCCCCACCTTTGCGGGCTCTCACACCGGCCTGTAGGCCTGTAAATGGATCTGGAGTTGCCAAACTGAGGTCTCGGATTTTCTGAGGTCAGCGACTCCAGTACCCAGGACTTCCAGAGGCGCATTCTCCAGCACAGTGCGGCTCACATCTCTCGGAGCTCCCAGGGGCCCACAGGGAGATTTGTTTCACTGAAGATGCGCTGCTCATCCATGCATTTCCAGTCCCTATGCATTCCCACTCCTACAAGTTCTTTGCATACATTCAGTCGAGGCAGCAGTTCTAGCACTTGCGCACATTGCAGAGAGTCGGGGCCTAGCGCTCTGTCCTGGTGGGGAAGACTGGTGGGTGGAGGCATTTGAAGCTGAGAATACATAGGGGTCTCACTTCAGCCCCAGTCAGCTCTCTGCCCCTGCCCTGACGTGGGTCCTGCACGCAAGCTCGTCCCCGGGTTCTGCTCACAAGCGGAGCAAGGGGCAGCGAGGCCCGGGCTGCCTTCTGTACACAGAAAGGCAAGGCGAACAACACACCAAGGAGTACATTGTTTTTAAGTCTCTGAAAAAATACTTAAGACTGTCAAAATGGCTGCTGCTGACCCCTGTGTCCCACAAGTGGCTGACTGGTGTGTTTGTGTGTGTGTGTGTGTGTGTGTGTGTTCAGTGCGGGCTTTTCCACCCACTTAGGCTCCCAGAAGTATGAACAATGGGGAAGTACTTTTTGTTCAAATATTTACATTCTATGGGGGAAGAAGCACAATGAGATGATGTGGCAACACTGTAGCCCAGGGATCCCACTCTGAACCGGATCTGCAGGGCTCAGACCCTGCCTGAGGCTCACACACAAGCTACGTGACCTTTCTGCAGCTTCTTCACCATGGCCAGCAAGTCTTCAGGCTCCTCCAAAAATCCAGCCTGACCTGCAGAGATGAAAACCACAATGAAGAGGACCAGCGAAAGTGAGGAGAGGCCCAGGCCCACCTGGAAAGGGACGGAGGAAGTCCCCATGGGCTCTGTGGGAAACCCTGGTGTGTGATCCCTCCTGGTCAGCTGCGCTGGGAGGGGTCAAAAGAAACCTCAAGATGTCACCTTGATGAAACTTGGTGAGGGGCAGGCATATGCTGGCTACTGCTGCTGTTCAACAAGATGCAGGCAGGTGGACAGATTCCATTAAAATCATTACAACCTGTCATGTGCAAGTTTTGATGAGTTACTGAATCTAGGAAATACTTATATCTGGATGCATATATTTAAAAAAAATGACAACTGCATATTATAAGACTTCTGATGGAAGAACATGATCCCATTTGTGAAGACTTTGTGTTCCAAAAAGGTCCATAAAAAAACAGCTAAATCAGGGCCCGGGAGATGGCTCAGTAGAATAAGTGCTTGCCTGGGAAGCGCAAGGGTCTGAGTTCAATCCCCAGTTCTGCAAAAAAACAAAAAAACAAAAAAATAGATAAATCAAAATTTAAAAAATACTAGGGCCTGCTGGTTAGCTCAGATGTTTAAATGCCTGCTCATGCAAACACAGTCATGGGCAAGTCACTGTGGTTTGAGCCTCAGCTCCACCTGCCTTACCACACCTGCCCTTAAGGCAGGCTGAGCCAGTAAAAAAAAAAAAAAAAAAAATCCTTCTCAACTTCCCTTCATCTCCCCCACAAAAAAACCTGACTTCCCTATTTTAATAGTAATTCAAAGGCAACACACAGGGCAGGCAACCACGAGAGGAGATGTGATCAACCTCACACAAACTGGGAAACCCCGTGGGGAAAACTGGGAAGAAGAGGGAGGGGGAAGACCTATATTTCAAAAAGCTCAAAGCCTCGATCAACCAATGGCAATGAACAGACCTCATCTGATCCTTAAATAAATGCTCTTTCTTCCACCATATATACTTCTCTATATTTTTAACATGAACCTTTGCTACTTTTTGTGCAGGGTTTCACTACACAACTCAAACTCATAGTAATCCTCCTATTTTCAGCTTCCCCAGTGCTGGGATTACAGGTGTATGCCACCACACCCAGACTCTGTCACAGGCTCAGCACACCCAGGAGCAGGGCCAGTGCAGCACATAGTGCTGCGGATCAAACCCTGGTCCCTGTGCTTGCCTAAGCAGGCGTTTAGTCTGCTGAGCTATCTCACCGGCCCTCCCTTTGCTACTTTTACAATTCAACAACAGAAAAATATTTGTGTGTTACAGACATCTTAAACTCTTTAAAACAATGATAAAAGGTCAAATTCCAGTGATCTGTGAAGGATGACAGCTCCAGTGTTGGAAGGAGCAGGGAGGGAAGGAAGGATAGGGATGCAGAGATGAGTTCAGACAGCCGTGGTCTGCACAGGCACCAACTCCCAGTGAGGAGTGTAATCACTCCATCCCTCAAGCACGCACTAACACAAGTAAATAGAGTGACAGCTCATAAACGTACAGTAGCTACAAAGAGCCTGCAGAAATGCTTACCCACCAGGGTGCACTGTGGAAAGCCTACATAGACTTGAAGCTTCCCAGTCCCCCTCCTCAGACATCAGTTACAAGCGAGGAAATTCACATACAAGCATATGTTCCACTTTCTACATAAACGGTAGCGTGAATGTAGGTGATGTTCCATGCCTTGGGTTCTTCATCTGACAATGCGAACCCTTGCATGGTGATTTACTGTTTACTTAAGAGCAGTCTCCTACTGTTGAACACTTAGGTTCGTTCCTTTCTTTGTTGTTCCAAACAATGCCACCATGATCATCTCTATTCATTTTCTCATCTGCTGTCCTAGTACCACAGATAGTGTCTTCTGTATGTCTGCCACCACACGCTCTTCTCTTTGGGAGTCCATATTTCTTGTTACCTAAGGACACCAATCCTTGAGTTATCCCAGCATGATGCAGAATGACCTCATCTGAAGTTGCTGTATTTGCAAAGACCCTGTGTTTTCATATTTTGAGGTTCTAGTGGACATATATTCTGGGAGGGACCCAACTTCAGCTGGCACACCACCCTTACTTTCTTCTTTTGTGCCTGTGTCAGTCAGTATCTACTCAACACACCTAGGATACTGCCCAGGCCACCTGCTGAATCAGAGGGGACATCTCTTAGCAAATTTGGCTGAGACCATGAAATTGTCTTCCACCTTTTTCAGGCCCACAAAGTAAGCTTTTCCTATCTTATTTGCCAAGTTATAATTATTATTATATTTTGAAACTTTTTTTTTTTTTTGGAACCAGGGATTGAACTCAGGCCCTTGCACTTACCAGCTAAGTGCTTATTCTACTGCGCTATCTCCCTGGCCCCTATATTATATTTTGAGACAAGGTCTTCCTACATAGTCCAGGATGACCTCGAACTCAGGACAATCACCCTGCCTTAGGCTCCTGAGAGCTGGGATTATATGTGTGCACCACCATGTCCACCAGCCGTCATGCTGTTTATTTTTTTATTTTTTTTTTGTACTGGGAATCAAACCTAGGACCTTGCACTTGAGAGGCAGGCACTATGCCTCTGACCTATATTGCCAGCCGCCAAGTTATGTTTTTAATTGTTTTCATTGTTTTCCAGTCTGATAGGCAGAAAAAAATAGTTTCATTCCACATTTTCTGGTAGTAAATATCAAATCATCCTCATATCTTCTGGATTAGAAATTCCATTCTTAGGGATGCATCTTAAAGGAATGGCTATGGGTGGTGGGCAATTGTTTCATCATTTGCAATCTTAAAATGTGGAAGTAACCCAAATATATCTTTGGGGATTATTTATAGCACATTTGGAGGATGAAATTCTTTTTTTTTTTTAATTTATTTATTTATTAACATTTATTTTGGGGTGTGTGTGTGTGGCCAGCTCAGCCCACCAGGGGGCGCAGCTGGCTGGCATGTGGTGCTGGGGGAATCAAACCGCAGTCTCTGTGCTTTATCAAGCTTGTTCCAAGTAGGTGCCTTAGACCACTGAGCCATCTCTCCAGCCCCAAGGATGAAATTCTTTACAGCCATTAAAATGATATAGTAAGTTATTTCTAACCTAGGCTTATCAAATTTTGTTGAAGTGGCTGATGACATCTTTTTGTCTGTCCTGGTCTTTTATAAATTACTATGTATTAGTTTAATTTTAATTTTCTAATTACCTAAATTATAAACAAATCTTTTCTTTTTTTTATTTTTCAGTACTGGGAATCAAACTCAGGACCTTGTACTTGCTAGGCAGGCACTTAAACTACTGAGCTCTCTCCCCAGCCCTAAATTATAAACAAATGTAGAATACGAAAATGACAATAAAAGTCTCCTATCACTAACAGCCCTTTCTCCCACTCAGTCCCCTTGCTAGAACCATTGCTAGTTAACTGAGAATGTTCAAATCCTGTTAATAACACATATTGCTTTCTTATTTTCTTACCTAGGTAACAGTCAAGAATTTTATACACTATAAAAATATGTGAAGTTAAAAATAAGCACTTTGGCTTCTCTCCTTGGGCCTTCCTTTCGTTGGTCAGATATAATCAGCACCAGCAGAGCGTTTCCTCTTGAGACACGTTATGAAGGTATTCTTCATGTTTGGAAATGGAACCAAGCCCTTTGGTAAGTACATGGAGAGGTGTTTGTGACTTCATATTTTATGAGGAATTTCAAAAGGACTTGAAAGGATATATGAAGCGATACCATGCTGAACTCCACTGTACTAATGACCAGATCTGACAACTGTTAATACTCATCCATACTTGTTGCAGTTGTATTTTTATTATGTTATGAGCAAGCCTTGACAGGCTTCTTGACATTTCTAGGTACCTCATTGAGTCTCAGTTACTGGAGGACATTTTTTTAGTGACCCTAATCCTACCAATAAGGTGAATAATCAACCTATAACATTACCCAACAACCTGACCATAATTTTTCTTGATTGTCCTTACACCTTTTACAGTTGGCTTCTGCAACTTTACGCAAAAGCTCCATCTGTATTTTTTCTCTCTACTTCTTTGCTAGAATTAGTCATCAGATAAAGCCAAGAGCTACTCATAAGTAAACCTTTTAAACAGTCTAACATCTTGATTTAAGTTCCATATCACCAGTGTGCAGAGTCCCTTTTTAAATATTTCAGAGGCCACAGTGCTTCCACTTGACCTTGTATCAGATTTCCTCTTTGTTTCTGCACTGCAAGTTGCAGACATCATAGTCCAGTGCTCCTTAATAGTCTAATGTCTATTTCCTATACACAGGCAATCTATACAGTATCACCTGAATTCTTCCAAAATAAAAATCACACAAATGTCTCTACCTCTGCATCACCCCCCAAATTTGAGTGCCTTGTCCAGTTATCTGATAGGCTGTTAACTTTCAGCTGCTTTTCTAATACATAAAAGGTTATGTATATTTTACCTTTTCCTTTCTATTTCAATTCCAACTGGCTCTCCTGACTTTTTTTGGAGCTCCGTGTCAATGGATAATTATTTTTTTTAATTTTTTTTTTTTTTTTCACTGAGACAGGGCCTTGCTATGTAGTTCAGGCTGAGTTTGAACTCACTATGTAGCCCAGGCTGGCCTTGAACTCACAGCAATCCTACCTTAGTCTCCCAAGCGCTGGGAACATAGGCATTTGACACCCACACCTGGCTGAATCATGATCTTATTCATTAAAAATTACTTTATTGTGCATCACAGCCCCCACCCCCTGCTTTTCAGTATGCATGGACATACAGATTTAGCCATTTCTATGTTGTATTTGCTTTCCATTAACACTCTATAGTGATCATTCCTGGTCCACAGCAACTATGTACTTTTCTCTAATTACTTAGCATGGAGATTGCAGTTGTGAAAAGCATTTTAGGTGCTACCTATACTTATCCAGATTGCCCAGAGTAAAACTTTTACTGGTCAGTTCTACCGGTGATGCAAGAAAAGGTATATACTGCCTCCGAAGCATCATTGCTAGCCCTTCCTGTATATAAAGCCAGCACGATGGGCTGTAAAGTCTACCTCAGTATTTTGCAATATTCTCCATGGCAAGTGCAAGGGCCTGAGTTCAATCCCTGGTTCCGCCAAAAAAAAAAAAAGGATGAATTCAATTTTGAGGAAATGTGAAAGGTAGTGACAGTTTATTTAAATCACAGGGCCAGCTATAGTGTATAAGTAAAATGTATCTGTCTAGCTTTTTGTTTTGCTTTGAAAGCTGGCTCTCCGCGAGTGCTTCTAAGACAACACTAAAGTTATTTCACGATTCACACATCAAAAATTACTGGCCACCGTCTGTCAAAGACATTGCTTTAGGTATTGGGGAGACAGCAGTAAAGTCTGTTCTCATGGAGCTCACACTCTAGGACAGGAAATAGGCAAATAATTAGTTTGATGTTTGCACACGTTAAGTTTCACAAGATGTAATCTAATGTGTTTATTATACTGACTTAAAAGAGTGCAGGAAGGGGAGCAATAGACAAACGAACGGCAGGAAACTGAATGTCCGTGGAATCGGAGTGACAGGTACTTGAATATTTCTCATGCTATTTTCTCTGCTTGGCTGTAGTTTGAAAATCTTGAAAAAAAAAAAAAATTGCTTAGGGCTATGTTACCTAGGCTGGATGTGAAACGCTAATATTGGGAAGTTAGTTGATTTTCTTGGGCGTGCCAACAGTTAACTTTTTTTTTTTAACACCTCGCCCGGTTCTGTTTGGAGAGATACCTATGAACTGCCTGTTGGTTACTTTAATTGAACAATTCAATAAAACTGACAAGAGTAAACCAGGGTGGTGAGAATGCGCATGTTATTTATTTCCACTTTGTGGAACAGTTAGAAGTTTCAATAATAAAAGTTTAAAATTTTACTTCTTTTTCAAAAAGCTACAGCTGTCACTGTTTTGTTATTGTAAGGGTTGAACCCTCCTTCCCCTCTGCCCCTGGTGGGGAAGACTGACCACCGGCCCTCACTACCTTCACCCTCCTCCACGGCTCCCGTCGATTCCTGCGACAGGCGGTCTCGGGTCTCCGCCATTCTCCAACGCGAGCCGTGCTCTTGCGCCTTGGGTTTAACGATTGGTTAAAAACATCACCCAAACCAGCGAAAGGCAGCGCGCATGCGTCTGAGCTCCGCATTCTCTCCCTAGGCGCAGGCGCCGGGTGCCTACTGAGCATGCGCAGAACATCTGGGCTCTGCCCCGTGTACACATGCGTATACCCGCGGGGCCCTAACTGGCTTTAGACACTGTACCACCAGGGTATGGGGTACTGGGGAACGATGTTGTACACACATGCACACTGTCGGGAGAGCTCGCCTTTATACAGATGGCTTGTGTTGCTGCAGGTTGCCAGGGTCTGAGACACACGTGCATGTAATGTGTAATGATGCATGAATTTGAATCCTATTTGCACGTCTTCATTAAAGAACCAATGGGAGTTGTTGGATGGATGAGCTTTAGAAGCACATTACCCCTCCTCTCCCAGCCACTGTGTGAGAACCTAGGTACTGTGTGTCTCCTGCTATACAGGTGGTTATGGGAGGCCACCTTCTCTCATTCAGAATAAAGCAGCCATCATTTCATGAGGATCATTTTTTTTTTTTTTGAGCAGCGATCAGATAAAAGGCAAAGGAATATTCTTGTGGGGCTTAGTTTTAGGCCTTTTATGTAGTTTTTTTTCCTAAATACCCTCAGGCTGGTTATGGGCACAGGCTGACCCTGCATTCCCAATTCTAGAACCTTTAAGGCTCATCCCTGAGACCTGGCCAGCCCTGCACACTCAGGGCTCAGTCCAATGGAGAAGAGACTTCTGAAGCAGGTTTAGAGGCAACTTCCCCTGACAGAGGCTGGACCATCATCCATGGCGAGGAAGTGAGGCAGAGGGAGGTGGCCTAGAACATTCTCTAGAGGTGGAGGTGCATGAAGGGACAAGAAGGGGGCACACTGTGGCCCTGCTGCTGCCACCCATCTCCCACTGGTGGGCAGCTCTTGTATGGTGCCCAACTGCTCAGGGAGACAGGTACCAGCCACAGGCAGGTCCCCACCACATTTTCAGATGGCAGAAGCCAGAAGCCAAGGTGGTTACTGCCAGCAGTCTGAGTTCTTCTATTCAGAGTCCAGTGAACAAGCCATTGTGGGAAGCCTGGTCTGCAGAGGCAGCTGGAGGTGTGGAGTACTTGGGTGGGCAACGGATGAAGAGACGATCCTCCTCCTTCTTGACCCAGCGCAGGAGTTTGGTCACTACCAAGATGGCACCTGCTTTGGTCACCAAGGGGCTGAGGCAGGTATAGAGCTCAAATTTGGAGGTCACCTACAGGTTTGGGAAAAGACAAAGTCAAGACAGAGCTAACCACAGACCATCCTGTCCACCCTAACCCAGCCCCAAGTTTGCCTCCTGTAGCCTAGAAAATGTACCTGGCAGCCAGGCCTATGTGGTGTTGCTTCAATACTAGGCTATGACAGGTAAGCTGATAGTTTTGGGTCACTGATGGGCCAGGGGTTCTCAGCTGGGCCTAGAGGTTACCTGAATACACTGGCTTCAACTGGGTGATAGAGGCTGTTTGTGTGTGGTTTCTCCTGGGCCCACTGCTTAATGTTCAGTAAGCAATCGCAGTGGTGCCTCAGTTCACAAGCTTAATTCTTTCCATGATTCTGGTCACAAACCTAATTGGACAAGAACTGAATCAAATTTTCCCATAAGGTCAAGACAACCTAACCACTGAATTTTACTCGGTTCTCATACTATTTGATTTATGACCAGAACTATGGCAAGAATTAAATTCATTAACTGACAGGCACCATTGTACTACATAAAAGGCCGCGCTCTCAGTTTCACAGGACTATTTTTATCATCTATAGCCTGGGAAGAATATAAAGAAGAATTCAGTTTAATCCTCACACCAACCTGAGAGACCTGACCCCAGCATGGTCACCAGTCATTTCTAGCGCTCCCTTTCACTGCTCTCTCTGGTTCCCTCTATTCTTTCTTTGCTGTTCCTTAGGCAGAGCCTGGCTTGGCCCTACCTCACGCATCTGTGGAGACCCTCCCCTCTCCTAGGTCTACTCTTCTTCCAGTCACCTACACGGATCACTACGTGTCTCCAGTTAGAGGTTATCTCAGACCACTCAATTTCAAATCCTGAGTCTACTGCACCTTGGCTTGTCAATGCCAGTTTTCACTAACAGGTACAAAGACTCCTTGGGAGACAAGGTCAAATAAGCAGCATTTACAAAATGATGGAATACGTGAGACACACAGGGAGAAGCCTGGCTACCCAAGGGTTCCCACTGGCTCCGTATGAGATAACTGCTGAACCCCAATAAATGTTAGAAATACTGCAGCCCACTGAATTAAACAAAAACCTATAAAGCCATTATTTGCATAACATTAAACAAATAGGTAGAAGGGAAATTTCTTCCTCTAGCTAGAAGGATTTTTTTTTTTTTTTTTGGCTGGCTCAGAATGCCTTCAGGGCAGGTTTGGCTGGCTTGAGTTCTGGGGATCAAACCACAGTAACCTGAGCCTGACTGCTTTGTTTAAGCAGGCACTTAAAGAACTGAGCTAAGGGACAGGCCCTCTTCCTTAAGATAGAACCTCAATAAATGAAAAAGAATAGAGATGGAGATAGAAAATGTACCATCGGGCAAATACCAGACTAGTAACTACTGCAAATTAAAATAATTAATGAATATTAAAATTAGTGGGTGAAAGTAGGATGATGAACAGAACACTAAGGGATGCCACAATCACAGGCATTTTAAGCTCAAGTCAAGATGACATCATCAACAATAGGACAGACTGACATCATGTGCCTTAATATGATGCAGAGAAGGGTGCATGTCACTTCTGTGAGACTCTTGCCCCAAACGCATGACTCCAATTAAATCATGATGTAACATTAAGAAGGCAAAACAAAGGGGCATTCTACAAGCTAATTCACCTTCTTCAAAGGTGCCAAAGCTACAGGACACACACACTCACACACCTTGGTGAAGTATTCCAGAATAAGTGAAAGCAGAGATACAATGATCAGAGAGTAGATTTGGGACTAGATTTGGGTCTAGGTTTTGGACCAGTAAAGAGACAGGATAATTGATAAAATCTGAATGAAGTCTCTGAGCTAAGTGTTATTGAACCAGTTTTTTTTTTTTTTTTTTTTTTTTTTTTTAACCATTTTTTAACATCCTGATTTTGGTTAAGGTATTGTGGGTTCATAGAATATTAACCTTTGGAGAAAGTAGGTGAAAGGACTCCTTAAGGGAAGTCTTATACTATTTGTGCAACTTTTGGGTCTAGAGTTACTTGGAAATTAAAACTTAAAATAATTTAAAAAATCTTCAGCCTAGTACAAGTCCTGATACCTAAAATTCATCTGTATATACAGCAAATTATTTAATACACAGTAAATTATTTAATCAATGATGGCAGAGCCTGGGAGAGGCACCATTTCTATGGGATCATCTCGATTGGGCTCCTTCTATAGCTGACCTTACAGCCCTACAGGAAGTGAGGTGGGAGCTGATGGAAGGACGGACACCCCCGGAGAGGATACCGCTTGGGGCCATGCCTTGGCATTCACAGGGTGCTGGAGACGCACAGAATCAAAACTGAACTGGGGGGAAACGGAATTGGCAGGCAGTGATAGCTGTTAATGGGGTCTCTGGAAAGTCAAAGACCCTACATTGGCTGTTAATAGAGGAGAGGTAGACAAGACAGGTGTGATGTAGGGTCGGAGGCAGGAATGAATCCTTACGTGGCTCAAAGATAAACATGTAAAGCTACAGATGAGAATTATGGGTGAGGCATAGCCCAGGGAGCACTTGGTGTGCTTGGTGATGGCTGCTTCGATCAGAGGGGCTATGTTTAGGGAAAGGAGGCTTGAAGTGGGGAATTAGTTCCCTCTCTGTCCTATCTGACTCACCCAGGCTAGCAGTGTCTCCTTCTCAGCCACATGGTAAATGAGGCGCAGGGGTCGGGAGGCGCTGTGCAGACGAGCGTGCAGGCGGTGGTACAGGTCTGACAGCCGCTGCCGTTCCTCTTCTCTGCTGTATGGGGCTTCTAGCTCAGGGCTGCCAAGATGGAGGGAGGTGGAGGACAAGGTTAGTCGAGGGCCCACTTGGCTAACCCATCTTCCCTCTGTCTAGGGATTTTTAACTAAGTTACAGAGCTGAGCCTTTCCTGTTAAACCTGAGGATTCTTAGTACTTACAACCAAGCTTTCCCCCACCAAGCTAACAGACTCCCTGAGAATGGTGTTCTTCTCTCCACTAAAATGGGCTCATTAGGTTGTCAGCTGAGCTTCTGTCATCAGAGAACTGTTCTATTTGTTCTTTCGAGGACTTGACTGGGTATCTCGTTTAAGTCACACCCACAGGATGCTGACTCTCCTGGTTTGAAAATCTTGCTACTGGGGTAACTGCCCATAGGGTTTGTGCCCACCTGGTAAACTGGGGCAGCTGGCGATGATGGTCAGGGATGTCCAGTGGCTTATAGAGGAAGTGCCGGAGGCCAGGTGCCCCCACAGCCTGCACGCTGTAGGCAGGGGCACTGGCTGCCTGGGAATCAGAGAAGTTCGCAGCCTCCCCAAGGGTACGCAGGGCACCAAGAGTGCGCATGCCATCCTCCACCAGGCGCCGGCAGGCGGCCATGGCATGGAAGGCTTCACGGTGGGTGCCAAGCAGCAGCAGGCAGACAGGCATGGAGTCCAGGCGGGCCACATAAGCATAGAAGAAACCATCGGGGTTGAAGCGGGGCAGGCACACAGGTGCCCAGGCTTCCCCCGCTGCAAAAGCTGGCGCCCCTACCCAGTCAAGCAACAGCTGCAGGTCAGCTGGGTCCAGCCGGCACTCGGCCAGCACGTTCCGTTCCTGGGCTGCTGTTATCAGGCGACCACCGACCGCCAGCACAGACAGTGCCAGGCCAGGTGCTGTGCAGCGCCGCAGCAACGTGCCTAGTGCTTCCCGCAGCGGACGGGCAAGCGGCACGCAGCGCACAGCGCCCAGGAGCAGGGCTCCGGGGTCTCGCTCCACATTGTCCAGAAGCCGGTCCAGCGTGCGCTCTGAGCCAGCCAGCAGGCGGCGGAGGTCATAGTTCTGCTTGTGCGCGAAGATGCGGGCCACGCTTGCACGTGTCAGTGTGCTCACAATCTGTGCGTGCACGGCGAGCAGCTCCCCTCGGAGCTGTGCTGCTGACTGAGGAGTCCGTGACATGGCCACCAGCAGCAGGGGGCCCTGCTGTAGGAACACCAGCTTGTGGTCCTCTGGAGGAGGGCAGGGGTAAAGATGGATCAGGAGCGACCCAACACACACAGCCACCTGGCCCAATCCACTGCACCACTCTAGCATCTAGACTAGGGCAAGGACAAGCCAGGGGAGTACAGATACTGTAGTCACCGTGGGATGTCGAGGGATAGCACAGACTGGGAGTGGTGGGGACAAGGTGATGGGAGCCAGGACTGACACAGAGCTGGGACACCCAGCTCAAGCCACAGCCCCCACAGCCACGCTGTCAGGCAAGGGAACAACTGGCTAATTACCCAAGTCCCATCCACCCAGAGCCCAGCAGACTAAAGACAGGACAGTACCCACACCCAGGCCCTGGCTGGTAGGCAGGCAGAGAGACACACCTACCCACACCCATCATTATTTCCAGTCATGGTTCCTGTTCTGTTTCCCACACCCCTTTGCTCACCGGCATAGATGGCGCGGATGTTATCCCCTGAGCTCTGTACGAAGGACACAAGGGCTGTCATCACACCCATGGTAGCTGATAGCGCCTCCACGCTACCGTAACGTGAGTAGATAGGCTTGCCGGCCTCGCTCAGCACAAACACGTGCTTCCTTTGGTTGCGCCAGTTCTCGTCACTGGGGTCCCCGCCCTGGCCCACAGAGTCACTCTCCGGACCATGAATGGGACTACTGTCTGAGGCTGTAGAACTCCAGTGTTCACACGTGCTTGACAGGACCTCTGACTGGGGCAGGGGTGACAGGCGGCTGGGTGGCTCATCCTCGGCTTGTGATCCTAGAAGGGAGCTTCTGGTGTGTCATCTATCTGTAGACCCCACTAAGCACATGGGCTCCCAAGGACCCACCAAACCTGTGCCCGCCTTCCTACAACCTCTGTGTTCTGATAAGTCCTTGAGTAACTAGTGACTCCCAACAGAAAATTGGGACCTCTCTGATGATATCTACTAAGTTCCCACAATCCCCTGAAAACCAAAATAACCCAGTTTGATTTTATTTTCATCACTAGATTCTTTATACCTCTGTGTATCAGTTTTTCCCTTTTAACTGCCACTTCCAAGCCTTCAAAGCATCACATTGTCTCAGTGACCATTACTAACATCTTCAGTGACCCAGGAACTCCCCTGACCCACTGTTTATTCTCCTGGTATCTGCACTCCCCTTGGTGGCCACGATTAACATCCACTGATTTCCCACTCTCTACCTCCCCAACTTTTTATTCTCATGGGTGCCTACGAATCTGACTCCTTCTGACTCTCAGTGAACTATTTATATTTTGAATGATGTTCACTAATTTCTTAATTTTCCCAGTGGCTATAACTAATATCCACTGCATGAAGGCAAGAGGATTGCAAGTTTGGGCCAAGCTTGGGAACTGGTTAAGACCCTATTGCAACATAAAAAAATACACACACACACACACACACACACACACACACACCCAAAATGAGTGAGGGTACTTGGGTTCTAGGTTCAGGATCCCATACTGGAAAAAGAACAATCCAGTAACAACCAGGTGTTCAGGACGCTCCTAACACCCTAATCACTTTCTCTACTTCCACTCTCTAAGATATTAACACCCTCTGAAGGACAGCTCACTAACATCACTAAATCACTAATACGTGTGTCTTCAAGGACTCTCAATGACAGCCTCATCCACAAATTACTCTAAGACTAATCTTCACAAACATAAATTCCGAGTACCCACCACCCTCACTGATCCTTTTCCCTATCACACTAACTTTACACCGAACCCCACCCCTGTCTTCACTCCCCTGATGGCCACCATGAATATCCCTTAACACAGGACTTTTCATGACTTCCACTGCTGTTCTCCATAACCATTATGAACATTCACTAAAGCCCACAAGTTTAGGGATTCCTACTGCATCCTCATACACCCAGGGATTCCCACTCACACCTATTGATTCAATCATTAACCATCTGTAGTTGTCTCTTAAGTTTCCCATAAATCTCAGTGACCTCATTTTCTCTCAATGGCACTCACTGAAACCCCCATCTCCAAATACCAAGTACCCTTCCTAATAACTGCCGGTACCTGCCAGTGATCCTCAAGTCCTAAAAGATCTCACCCGTTTATTCTCAGTGAGGTCTGCTGACAGTGCCCAGCGACCCCATTCACACCCACTAATTCTAAAATAACTAATAAGCCCTGCTTCCTAATGACTTCTGCTGATCCTCCAGCAACACCTTTACCTATCTACTATCTGGTGTTACACACCAGCACCAACACAGGGATCATCTTTCTGAAAATCTCACTGATCCTCTTCTCCTCTCCCACTAATCACCAACAGCACGCTTTAGCATTTGTTTCCTTAACAACCCCGCCCAACAACCCTTTTCTATTCAGTAGTCTCCACTGATCTCCTTTCCCATTGCAATGATTTTATACCCCAGTGTCCCCAAACACTAACTTCCAAATAGTTCCTCCTTTGAACCTATTCATGTTCATTAACCTAAATACCCTAAACCCTCAAAGGTCTTCTCTAACTGGACCCTTTTTGATGCAAGTCCCTTGAAATACATTCTGGTTGGCCCAGAACTGAGAGATCTCTGAGGATAAGGGTCTTCCAGGGCTAAAATGGATATATTCCTGGACAAACAGGGATGGTCCTTTTCCCTGCCTTCGATCCTTCACAACAGGCATCTACCCAGGACCACAGAACTGCATCTGGTGAACACCAGCTGATGCCTACTGACTTCCTTTTCTTTTCTTAATGACTTGAACTACACCAATGAGTCTGCTACTACCTCCTACTGACTTGGCGGCGGTTCAAGCCCGAGTCCCCAAAGACCATTCACTGATCTTCCATAATCCTCTTTGTCCCTCGCCCAACATGACCTCCCCCGTATTCCTTCCAAATTCCTGGTGAGGGCAGCGTCTACCTGCTTCCTCCGGGTCCGTGTCTCCGGGGTCCGGCGGGCCCGACTGAACTCCTCCATCTCCAGTCTCCTCGCGCGGGGTCTGCGTGCCTTCCAAGTCCTGCGTGTCCTCCAAGTCCTGCGCGCCCCCGGGGGCTGGGGCAGCAGCGTCTCCACCGGCCTCCATCTGCACATCCCTAGGGGAAGGGGAATCGAGGGTGACAGGCAGCAAAAGAAACTTCTCAAAAGCCTTTAAGGAGCCAGGCCCGCTGGAAACATTCCCAGGGCTTGTTTCGCCCACGGCTTTCAACGCGATGAGACATTCAAAATCATGTCCAAATACTTGCACCCTCCAACACGTGCCGCAGGAAGTGGCTCCAGTGGCCCTAGGAAACAAAGATACATAAACACCTGTTTAAGCCCAGTATCTCAACTGGCTCGACTCCGGGAGCCCGGGCAGCACCACACTTCCGGGTGCCACCGAGTTTGGCCACACTTCCGGAAACGACGCCTCACGGAAGACACTTCCGGTTAGAGCTTCGGTCGCTCCCCGAAATTCCTCTCGCCCGCCGCCTACCGCTGTTCCCTCACGGTTACGATAGAGCACGCCTCTCCAGGATCTACTTGGGATCAAGTCCGGAACCCGGTGCGCCGCTTCCGTACTCTAGTAGGAAAGCCGCTGCAGCTCCGGAGCCGGTTGGGGGGATGCCCACGTCTCTCGCTGGGGCTGCCGGCGTGAGGGGGGCGCGGCTCTCGCACAGCCAATCGTAGGGCACAGAGGGCGGGCCTTTATGCTTCTGGCCCAATCAGAAGGAGTCTGTCACCTTTCTCCCGCCCCGTCTAAATCTTACCCAGACAAGTGCTTGGCGACTGATGATGCTATCTCCCTGGATCCACTGAAAGCCCAAGCTTCTTTCTTTCCTCACTTTAGGATGGATACTCGCACCTGTCCAGTAGACGCGCTCCCCCACAAAAGAGGCAACGTCATTCTTTATCCGCCAAGAAAAGCTGGAATGGGCTAAGACTTGGTGGGGTGCTGCGGAAGTTGACGAGCAGTGGGAGCGTCCAATCGGAGTGCGGCGCGCAATCTGGTCAGCGTATGGGAAATGGATCCTAAAGTAAGAGGCGGGCCCCTCCGAAATGAGAATTACTCGTGGGTCTTCGTGATCAGCCAAAGGCTCAGCGGCCCTGGAGCAATGGACGCTCAGCCCCCCGACATACTTGTGCCCCCCAAGAATGGAGTTGCGAAAGTAACAGTGTTCATCCAAAGAAGCGATGGTCCTCCCTAACGCCACTTGCTTAGATGGGGCCCGTGGGCGGAACCGGGCGGACCCAGGCGGAACCACGCAGACCACGCATATTAGGCTTCTAGGCCTAACGGGGAGGGGAGCGCCGGTGGGCGTGGCTTTGAGGGGCTTCTGCGTCTTCGTTGGCTGATGACGGCGCCGCACCGCCTCTGCGCAACACTATTGGCTGAGTGGACAAGGGGCGGGTTCGACAGCCTGGACTGTCTCTTGGCTCAACGCAGATGCTGGATCCGAGCTTCCACGTGAGCGGAGCAGTGTACCGAAGGATGCGAGGGGCTTCGGTAGCCGGCAGAAGGCGCTGCAGGCTGACAGTTTGACAAAGAGGGCGAGAGCGGGTGCAGTCGCGCCTGCTGGTCTCTGCGTCTTTCTCTGGGGTCCCCTGAGTCGCTCAGGCGATCTGTCTGTTTCTGGGTGGCTCTTTAGGTCTGTGTCTTTGCATCTGATTGACGCTCTGCACATTGCCTGCGCTTAGTCCTCTGGCCTCCTCTCGGCCCGCTGATGACACCCCACTCCCAGCCCCACTCGGTGGAGCCCCAGAGAGCCTGACCTCCTGCAGCCCCAGCCCGTCGCCTGGTGCAGAATTCTGGGTAGGGGCGCGGCTGGGGCAGCGGTGGAGGGAGCTGCAGGCATCTCCGGATGTTGGACCGGCCAGACCCATCTGGGCTGGCGAACGGGAGATCGCTTCCCTGGATACGTTTGGGGTTTTGTAAGAGGCTTCCCGGACGACGCTGTAGCGTTCCAAGCGCTGCAGCCGTGGCTTCCACCCTGTGAAACGCTAACTAGATGTAGACCTATGTCTGAGGATTGCGTGGGTTGAAGTGAGTAAAGGTGCTTAGCCTACTTTGAGCCATTGCAAGGTGGAAGGCTTTGGTACTATTTATAATTACTTTAATTATAATTGAGGCAATGAATACCAATTACTGATGTGGCACCTTATGCCTTATATGTAATAGATAACAGATAAGTACTATATAGTTACTATAATATAAAAGCAATATATAAGCTTATGTATAATACACTTACCTAATAATTATAAAAACAGTATATAATAAACATGTTAAGAACCAAAGAATAAGGTATATATAATACAGAGAAATATGTAAATGCAAACAGTAAATAAAACCATTTTATAAGATATACATGTAGCTGACAATATACTGTTAGTATTTTTTATGAAGTAAAATTGATGAAATGATGAATTTTAAGTAATTGCATACTTTAAGCATTTACTAATTTGTATGGTTAAGATGCACATGAATGTAGGATATAAAATAATACTTTGTACACAGTTCTTAGATCTGTGGACTTCGGTTGGTGGAGAGTGTGCCCTCTAAGGCCGCATGAAGTATTTCTTGCACCCAGCGTTCGCCAGCAGGTCACTGCGGCCCGGTAGAATGGGCCTCTCTGAGCCTGGCATTCCTCATCAGTGTGATAGAGATATTAATTGTGGTCCCTATCTTCCTGGGCGATCCCTTGGGGATTCAGTGACCCAGTTTTACTCCTAAAATAGCACCTGGTGCATTGTAGGCCATGAAAATGTTAGATTATTAAATATCATTAGCTCTTATGATTTCTATGGTAACTCATACATTATAACTTACTATGTATGTTACACTAAGTTATATACAATACAGACACTAAAATTATATTTCCACAACTCTGTTTGAGCTCTGAGGATATGTTAGAGCACACAGCAGTGTCCCCATCAACCAGATAGACCCCTAGGAGGCCAGAGGGGCAACCTGCAGATGACCAGACCGCGGAACATAGGAGACACTGTCTCCCAGCCAACCAGACAGACAGCACCACAGGGGGCAGACAAGACAGTCCCACCCCATCCACCCCCCCAGAGAGCAGAAGTCTGGTGGAGTGGTCTCAGGATCATGAAGATGAAGGAGAGGGTCCAGAATCTAACCCACAAGTCACTAAAAAAGTGTCACATTGGAGAGAATCCAAACCCATGACCAAATGCTTTTTCCTTTCCATGACTGGCATGTCTCTATGCTGCAAATTGTAGGTTAAGTGTTTGAAGGTTCCATTGCATTTTCCACCTTCATTTAATATTGATCCTGTATTTCAACAGAAGTATACCTCAAGTAGACTCATGTTCTAAAATTTTTGCTAACTTGCTCTGAGGAAAAAAGTGATTTTTTCCCCCCAGGGAAAATAGCAAAGCTAAGAACAACAACATAATCTCTTATCCGAAGCATTTAGCACCAAATGTGTTTTGAATTCACACTTTCTCTAGCCTGAGGTGCATGTGTCAGATAGTATCAAGTGCCTCAGCAGGGGTTGGGCACTGCCTAGTAATTAAACTCATTATTTCCAGGAAGGAGTGGTAAGCCTGGAGAGCAGAGTTCATGTTTTGCTGCCATTAAGTTTAAAAAAGATTTTCAGCCAAAAAATTTGTGACAATACTAAATGGTAAAAATATACTCATTGGAGTCCCAGGTGTGATGAATCAATGGTGAGAACAGGATATATATGTAAAAAACAATGGCCCCAAATTTTCAAACAGATAAAAATTATAGGCACTGTTTTGAGGAACTCAACAAAATCCATGCAGGATAAAAAAAAAAAAAAACAAACCTCACTAAAGAGTCTTAAAAATAAATTGCTGAAGGGCCAGCAGTACAGCTCAGTGGGCTAAATGCTTGGTTAGGCAAGCACAGGGGCTAGGGTTCCGTCCCTGGCACCACCCCTGGACTCGCTGAGCCAGCGATGTAGCCTGGGCGTGCTGGCTCAGGCCTGTAATGCCAGCACTAGGGAGCAGAAACATGGAGGATCATGAATCCAAACTGTGTAGTGAAAACCTGCAAAAAAAAAAACCCCAAACCAAACCAAACAAAAAACCTTAAAAATAAATTATTGTTTAAAACAATAAAACAAAACACTGTTAAAAATAAGATGCATTACATATCCAAGAACAAAGGTAAGACTTAAAGCAGATGTATGAAAAAACTTCCAATCAGAGAACCATAGGAAAGTTATTTTTTTTTTACAAAGAAAATAAAATGCAAATATGTTAAGCTTACATTTTCTACTTTGTAACATAATCTTTCAAAATGAAAGCAGGGCTGGGGAGATAGCTCAGCTCAGTGGTCTAAGCACCTGCCTGGCAAGTGCAAGGAATTGGGCTCCATCCCCCCCCAAAACACATGCCTGGCCTGCCTGCCCCTGGGCATGCTGAGCCCACCACAAAGATCCCTTGGGGATTCAGTGACCCAGCTTTACAGCTAAAATAGCACCTGGTGCATTGTAGGCCCTGAAAATGTTAGATTATTAAATATCATTAGCTCTTATGATTTCTATGGCCATTCATACATACTATAACTTACTATATATGTTACACTAAGCTATACACAATGCAAATACTAAAATTATATTTCCACAACACTGAGCTCTGAAGATGTGTGGCGCACGCCTATAATCCCAGCTCTGGGGAGGCT